CGAACATAACGCTTAGTGTTGCTATTCTGGAGTAGAAAGAAAATTAGAGCAACAATGCAAGCGGGGAAAGGGGCAGCTGTTCTAGAGCTTTTTGTCAGCAATATTTCAGTTTTGCTCAAAGATTTGTATAGCTTTATGAAATGGACTATAACGAAATAAACTTTTTATATTAGGTAACAAAATAAAACAAAACAAATAAAAACGGGCGGGGGCGGGTAGGTGGACAGAATCGGGCGGAGGAAGGTCTGAAGACGGAGGCGGAGTTTTGAGGTTCTTTGGGTTTTTGTTTTTTTTGACGCCGAGTAACTTTCTCTGAGAGGAGCGTTGAAAGTGCCAAAGGAGAAGGTGGAAGGTAAAGGTAAGCTGCTGTCACCGTTTATTCGTGTAAACCAAACAACAGCTTCCGCTGTGCAGAGTCCGGCCAGCGCTGTTCTCAGTAGTAAAATGCTTACTTGGCAAAAGTAAAAGGGATGGACGTGCCTATCACGAGTTTCAGCCTCCTGCCAACGTCTGAGACGCATAAACAGAAAAATCTAGCAGACCTAAAGCGACAAAGCTGCGCTCAGTGCTGCAGAATCTCTTAGTCGGAAATTTTACTTTCTGACTTCTTGTACTTTTAAGTGCTACGCCAGTATAGTTAAAACGCCTGTAAAATGACCATTTGCGTTGGAGTAAGGCTAGAAAATTCCGTGTTCTGCTGCGCATCTTCCATCACATCACAGATTAACGCATATGAAAAATGAAGTGTGTTAGTAGTAGTGAAATTAAAATTAACTTTGCGGAACTGTTTGTAGTACATTTAAGATGTACTATTATTAGCTCTGCAGTTAATGAAGAATGTCTGGGGTTTGGTGCTTCTGGCACTTGATTATCGTTGAAGAACAGAGCACCCATAGCTGGTTCATAATTAGCCTGTAGAGCTCTGGGCTCAACACCCCTTCTGTCTTGATATCATGACATTTTGATAGGATGGATTTTCATGATAACCAAACCAGTCTTATGACTTTTCCTTCCAGATCTATTGAGTGGGGTGTGGGGATAGATAAGCAGGCTCCTCAGCTTCCTTTGTATGCTATACCAAAAAGTTGGTTTGTCAGTAGCGTGTTGCAAATATTAAAAAAGGAGAAGTAAACTGGGATTGACTAACATGGAGAAATCTGTAGAGAAGGTATACAGCATTTTGAACATATGCCATTTTTGGTCATAAGTGGAACCTGCAACATTGCTCAACTTTATGAACTACAGCTTGCAAAATGTCGGTTTATGGCTCCACACTTCATGGCTTTAAAGTGAAATGCACACTTGTGTTCTTCTCTCCAAGGTGCGCTGAAGTGGGACGTGGTCCTCTCTCTTCATCCCTCAACCTGCCATCATGTCTCGGTACCTGAAGCATTTCACTGCTGTGGGGGACCAGCATGTGGTCCATAGCGACGAGGAAGAACTGCATGTTTCCAGTGAGGAGTTGAGTCCGGCTACGGCACAGCTTCCAGTTACGTTAACATTTAGGGATTCATTCAAGAGGCTCTACAGCTCAGAACGTTTCCAGGTATGTCGCTGAAGTCTTTTCAGAAAATGTACCAAAGAAACTGTTGTCTGAGCCTTCCAGTCTGCCAAAGCTACTAAGCTATTACAATGACAGAGAAATATGAGGGTGGGCAAACGATTCCAGGAAAAGTCCATAAAAATAAAAAAATGTAAATTTGGTTGAGCTTCTGTTCGAGATCATCATCTCAGTCATGTCTGGACAGCTTTTAAAGCGGCTGCTGTTGTTTTGGAGATTTAGAGTAACAGAAGTCAGGCGTCTGACCACGCCTCCATACACGCTCCTTATGGTTCTCATCTATATAGGTTCCCCCAGTCTACAAACTACTCATTCTCGTTTACGTGCCTTTATCGAAGTTTTGTTCTGACCAGTGGGGTGGCTTTAGCTCAGGAGGTAGAGCAGGTCATCTTCTAATCAGAAGCTTGGTGGTTTGATCCCACAGTTACGGGTAACAAGTGTTTCAGAGGATTCCTCATCATTTTTTGAATATTGACTGGATTATGCCATAGAACAGTGAAACACAGGTATTCAATGGGCTATGCAGAATTAGCGTCCTTTTAACTGTAGCAGTTTATAACTCAGCTATTGTTCCATATTTATCCTCAAAGTGCAGCAAAAGACAAGAAAGTTTAAAGCAAGAGGACCTTATTTTCTGCACAATGTCAGATATTAGATTTAGTTCAACTACAACTGGTTTTGAGCTCAAGTACCTTCCACCACAGTTTTTTTCTTTTACTTTGAAAACTAATAGAAGCTGACATCGTAACTGTCTCTGCTTGCAGGTGTTGGTTGTGTGTCTGGTAATCCTGGATGCCATCTTTGTCTTGGCTGAGTTGCTTATAGATCTGGCTGTCATCAAGCTCGAGCATGGCCACATTGCTCCAGAGGCAAGCAACTTTTCTTCACAGTCTAAGAAACATCCCATGGGTATTACTGAGATTTTACTACACCGTTATGTGTTTTTCAGGTTTTTCACTACCTGAGCTTGGCTGTTCTCACCTTCTTCATGTTGGAGCTGGCTGGGAAGATGTTTGCATACCGCTTGGAATTCTTCCTGCACAAATTCGAGGTGTTTGATGGTTTTGTGGTGATAGTGTCTTTCATCTTGGACATTGTCTTCATCTTCCATGAGGACGCCTTTGATGGGATAGGTCTTCTGATCCTGCTCCGACTCTGGAGGGTAGCCAGGATTATCAACGGTCAGTGCCACTCTGCAGTGTTCACAGGAAATGGATGAAATGATAAATTAACGGTCATGGCTCTGATTATTTAATCAGCTCATCAATGATGCAACGACGTCACATGTCTCTGAGTTCCTCTTGCCTCCTCTCTTTTATGATCGTCTTCATTTACATTCACATTTTGATTGTCTGCTATGTACATTCATGTTCAAATTGCTAACAGAATACATTTTTATCTTGCTGCAAAGCAGACTGGGAATGTAAAATACATTAGACGTCACTATTCAGAAAGCACAATGGTGGCCCACTAAAATATTTTTTTCACATTGTTGTATTTGCAGGTTTTGTTTTTATATGAGATCAAAATGACTGATGTTAAGTTCCAGATGTCATGATTAGCAGGGCAAAGTTTAAAATGCTGACCATTTTTTATTTTGTTGTAGGAATCCTAGTGTCAGTGAAGAACCGTGCAGACCAGAAGGTTCACAAGCTGAAGGAAAGCTATGACCACCTGGTTCAAAGAGTCACTGAGCTACAGGAGCGCAGTGATAAACTGGTGATGTCAAATATTCATGAAGATTATTGCTGCTAATGGCAGGCTTGGACTACTTATGTCTTGTGAGATGCTTAGTGTGTCAGGAATCTTTCACCCCTGCACAGAGATTACAGATTACTGCCTGGTTACCGAAAAGTCAGTTTCTTTTCTTATCTTGTTTTGTGTGACGTTATCTAGAGAATGACATCCCGGTGACACACTTCCTGTCCATAAAAATACTGGTGTCATTCCTCAGCCTCCTAGTAGATGCACCTATGGTATAAATTCAAAAATCCTCAGATTTTCAGAAAAACTGACCTCTGACCTTGATTGGTTAATGTCGCTGGGCTACAAGCTTGTCTGAGAGTTTTAGTAGATGCCCTCGTGCTACTTAGCCTCGTTCTTGTGTTCATAAAAATCTGACCTTGACCTTGAGGACGAGGTCCCTCAGGTTCTTAGTAGAGATGTCACCTCATTCACTGCTTCAGGATTCAACTTCGAGAGTTTTCCAGAAGTGTGGCAAAGTCAGAAAAGCTTCATACTTTAGATTCACTCCTTCTGGTGTGAGGACAGAGAGGTGACTCTTTTAGTAACATTATTAGGGAGCTAAAGTGAACCGATATGAGCCAAACTCATGACGAAAGCAAACGTTGACCTTTTCTTTTTTTAAAGCTTTGTTTAGTTCTAGTCACTCTTTCATTCTGTTTTTTAATGTTAACGAGCTCACAGTTACAGTAGGATAACATTATCCTTAGTTAGCTTGCCGCTTAAAACAAATGAAAACACCAAGTTCCCAAATGGACAGTCCCAGTGGGGGAACTCTTTGAGCCTGGAATTCCACAAAAACTGCAGTAATGATGGCAGATCGTTCACAACACACTCAGTCCTGCTTTGGATTTCAGGCAGTAGAAGGCAGAACTGTAATGCTGCTGACTGAGTGATGAATACAGTTACTGATAAGATCTCCATGCACATTTAGGTCAGTATCAGAATCCTCATTGGCATTGTAGCAGTAAAACAGCTAAGACGATACAGACACTCAATAAAATTAAAATTAGTAAAAAACATAAATTATATACACAGTATATATTCAAATGCATCTATAAACTAAACCAGTACTGTTGTCTGGTATTTCCTTTCTTGTTGAGGAAGTGGTGACTGTTATTCTGTGCACGGGGAATATCAGATATATTTATTATAACTTATTTTACTTTTTGTCTGTTTTGCAAATTTCACAGCAGTAATACAGAAAGGTGTCTGTTATTTAGCAATTTAGGCTTCACTCCTTCATATTGTCACATAAGTATGTGGCACGAAGGCCTACAGTGAGTAACAAGGTGATTCTTGTCTGTGTTTTCAGGCACAAGAGAACGACAACCTGAAAGCCCTCCTCAAGAAGCACGGCATAGACGTCTAGCTCAACAAGCTCACTGCTGCAGAGCTACTTGTACCCACATGCTGCAGAACATTTAATGGTTTAGTACTAACTGCACTGAGATTTAATGTCATCATTCCTGTCCTTGTGGTGATGGAGACAAATTAAGGGACTGCACTTGCATCATGAATTTCCAGTATATACATGTTAGTGATTTTCATGCCATAAAGCCTAAAGCACCTGTAAATAAGTGAAAGGCAGAACGATAACTTGTACATAAAACTACATCTTAATGTGATTTTGGAGTTCTGTATGACCTGTTAGAACAATTTTAAACCATTGATTTCAAGAACTGAGAAACGAATGTGAAACCATGTATTAAATTTTATTATAAAAAAGGGAAAACTCAGATGTACATTATTCACACAATACACAGTTGCAGACTGATGGTCCAATAACAGTACTAGTGATGACCACACACTGTACCAGTGTTTATGGGGAAGCTTAAATAAGTGAAAGCTGCAGTTGGATCAAACAAAAGGGAAGAAGAAGTCAAAGGGCAGTTTGGCATTGATGGTAGGTGTGGCCCTGTAACCAGGAAGAGCAGCAGCAGATACTGGGATGAAGGCCACTGAGCTTCTGATTGGAAGGACACTGCTGCCTCTGGACAACAGGGTCTGTGTGAGAATACACACAGTACAAATGATTCTCTCTGCTTGCAGTTTTTTTCTGCTATAAATGCTCCGACAGAAATGATGTCTTACCAAACTGCTGGTGTTGCTCTGAATTACTTCTTTGATGCTCACAATCTGTGCTTGAGGATTCACGAAGGATCCGTAATTGGTCCATTTATTTCTAAGTGAGTACAATGGGTGTGAACTTGGAGCTCTACAATCAAAATCAAATCACTTTTATTGTCACATCACATGTGCAGGTACATTGGTACAGCACATGTGAGTGAAATTCTTGTGTGCGAGCTTCACAAGCAACAGAGTTGTGCAAAATACAAGAATGTAAACAAGCAAAATACAAGAATGGCTACATCTGAAACTAATAAATATATGTACAATATATAATAGTATATGCATTTCTGGATGTGTATACTAAATATTTTACTGTGAATTCACTTCTGTTTAAGACCTCAGACCTCAATTTAGAGCATCTGACTCATCACTCAGTGCAATGACAGTGATCATCGTAAGATACTGTGCCCCTTGTTTGACCTCACTCACTGTGGGATTGAAGTTGGTCTTGATCTGCACCCAGTCCAGGAGATTGTCCAGGCGGGAGTTTCCAAAGGAAGCCACATAATAAGGATAGTTAAATCCTCTCAAAATTCCTAGAAGCTCTTGCGAGACAATAGTGCAATTTACACCATCTTCCAACCTGCAGGATCGAAAAACGTTGCCATCAGAAATTTTAAAGAAAAAACAGCGTTTGTTACATTAAGTGTGATGAATAAAATGTGAGGATGATGTGCCTTAACAGGCAGCCAGACACAGAGTCGTGACCAAAGAGGACAGGTGAGCGCTGATGTGGACCCTGCAGACAGTCCTGGTCCTCAGTGCTGAGGAGCAGAGACAGAGCGTCTCTGAGGTCAATGCTTCTGACAATCCCAGTGGAGAGGAATGTTATGGACAAATCCTGGTTCTTAGAGAACATCAAAACATTACACGTCTTTCATCAACCACTGAAATTCAGTTTAATTTATAGAGCTTCAGTTTACAACAACAATTGTCTCTGTGTTTCACACGGCTAAGGAGCCAGCAACAGTACACGATCAGATGATGCCCTACGGGCAGCCTCGGCGATAGCGGGAAGGAAGAACCCTCTTTTAACAGAAAGTTCCAACAAAATCATACTCTGCCACGGCTAGTTAGGGGTTGATAGTAAAGAGCATGGAGAGACCATGGACGCTGAACAAATTTTTAAAAAGAAAGACACAGGAGAGAGAAAACAAAAGTTATGACATGCAGTAGTGGCACATAAACGCCTGGGAAATGAAAAAGGATAATGGAGAAGTGTCCTGGGAAAGTTTTCAACTAGCACGTGCCTATATTTTGTATCACTCTTTATCTTAAAAGTAGAGAAAGTGTCTGTCTCCTGAACCTAAACGGAGCTAAAAGCTCTTCCTCCCTTTTCATTTTTAGAAACTCTGAACCACAAGCCAGTCTGAAATCTGAAATCTTTCAACTTAAAAAAATAATTTTGTCTTTATTTATTTTATTTTTGTACTTCTTATATTTATATCTATTCGTTGAGGTCTGTTTCCAACCTTTTTAAACTACTTTGATCTCTAGTTTTCACTTAATAAGACACAAGCGGCAGGCCGACCACATAACCTGGATTTCCGCTGTAGTGGACATTCACGTCCCCCCCATCTGCCTGTTTAGGAGACACAAAACACAGAGCGTTACTCAGATTTAGTGAATGGTCAAGGAGTAACATGTTTTCCTAAATTACTAAACACTTCTTGCAGTCTTTCTCAGAAGGAAGAAATGTAGAGCGATTAAAATGAACAAATCTGTGAAACCAACAAATCCCCTCATTCTAACAGCACCTGATTTGATCTCTACCAGTGAATTGCTGTGGAAGTACACAACACAGAGACAGAAGACAAGCTGGCAATCATAGTTTTGAAGTCAAAGTAATACAACTACAAGCTGTGTTGAACCTGTTCTGCTTCCCTTATTTACTGTCACGTACAGTGGTGAATGTTCACATTAAAATGCTCAAAGTTTCAGATAATTAGGATATGTACAGGTAAACTCAAACATCCCACTTTCATCCTTAACATCATCACCTCATGTCCACAAGTCTGGCAAAGCAGCCTCACCCACACGCTACTTAAATAAGGATATTTTAGCCAGCTTTTGTGAGGGGCTAAAACATTTGTGACTGATTGTTCCAAAAAAATAAACCATTACACATAGATAGGTTTGTTTGAATATACTACCTGGATGTACGTGACCTGAAACTCCTGTTCCAAATGCAGCACAGCTTCAGTTACAAATCCAAGCACCACAGACACCGTTGCATTTTCTATCTTACCCTGTGGGTTGTACTTTATCACATAGAGAACCTGAGGAGACATAATTTTCTAATTACACACTTTCAATTAACTTATTTTTGCATATAACTTTTAAATAGGAAGTGTTGGGGTGGTTAACAAATAAAGACTTAGTATTGCTTAGATTGCTTCATTTAGATGTAAGGGAATGGCACCAGACATGGAAATACAATTAGGTGCACGCGTCACTGGAAAAGCATAAGATGTTTCCCTTTTGGAAAGTTGATTGTGTTTGAATTGCCTCAATGTACTTTCACGTCCCACCTCCAAAGATAACTGACAACACAGGCATGTCTGGGTGTGCGTGCCTATGTCCAGACTTTTGCATCTCTCTGAAATGACTGCGTGCCTGTGTGTTTGTGTGGAGTAAATGGCCTGTATTTACTAGTCCCTCAGGACCCCAAAGCGCTTTACACAACCAGTCATCCACCCATTCACACACACATTCACACACTGGTGATGGCAGCTACGTTGTAGCCACAGCCGCCCTGGGGCGCACTGACAGAGGCGAGGCTACACGGACTCGTCATCATCATCATCCAGAAAAGAGAAAACAGGAAGAGGATATTTCTGACTATTGCACACAATTTTAAACCAGAGTGTAATGTGGTCACATCTGTAGACTTTACTTTTCAGAAAAAAAATCTCCTGTGTTTGTGGAGAGCACAGCAAAGACGTCAACACAGATAGGTGTGATATTTTCCACAGGTGGATGACTCAGTGGAACTACAGGTCTAATTAAAAAAACTAACTAAATGTCACAAATTAACAACATTACAGGATGTTTCACTGTATAATATATTTATGCTATATTTATTATACTATGTTATGTAAGTCAGTCAACATTGTATGCTAATGGCTGTCAAATATGTGTGTCAACCGTTTCTTCATGCTGGAAGTGAGAAATAAACTCCAGTGTGTGTGACCCACCTTCAGCACCACATTACCACAGAGGGTGGGGTTGATGAGAACAGGACTGATGTTTCCTCCACCTGTGACCTTCAGCTCAGTCTGAGTGCGATCTGCAGACTGTAGGATGACTGAAGACACCACCACAGGAACAACCTCCAGCAACAGCAGGGACTCATATCAGTCTTCATTTAACTGTGTTTCTGAACTTCTGACACATTAAAACTACTGCACTACAATACACAATGCGCCAGCGGCTGTCTAACATGATGACAGTTTTAAACAGCACAGCATGCTGCAAATACTACTCAGTAAATAGTCATCTAAAACACAACTGTGTTCTGAATGTTAATGTGAAAATAAGTGATTGCTAGTTGCTCTTTAGGAACTGAGCAGAAAGTTGTGCCACTGTTCCTGTTACTGCATTGCAGCACTTAACCTCAAGTTTGTTTGTGCGTGTTGTGCAACTTACAACATGTAGCAACATCAAAGGAGACACAATCAGGAGAAGCTGTCTGTGTCTTACTAAATGTCCTGGTCTACCTAAAGGTGTTTGGCATCGGTAGATTCTGAACATAGATTTTATCACCTGGTTATTTTATGCATTACAAACCACCATGAGTTTATCTGAGCCAGGTTTTATATTAATATTACTGAGTTGGTGCATTAAAGGATTTTAGTGGGCATCAAAACCAAATTTAGGGGTGTACAGTCATGGTTAAAATAAATAAACTTTACATATTATACTGTATTGATTATGTATTTAACAAAAATGAAGACATTTTGCTCGTCCAGAGGATTAAGCTGATTGTTAACACAGTGATAAAGAGAAAAAAATCATTCTGGGACGTGTTATGAAGGCCATTGCAAAACAATCGAAAATTGAAATATTTGTCACAGGAGGAAACATTCAAGATACTTTCCAATTTTCCCAGAACTGGATGCCCCAGCAAATTCACCGCAAGGTCAGAACCTGCAATGCTCACAGAAATTCAAGAGCTACAGTGCTATGAAAAAAATTGTTACATTTATTATTTGTCACGTTTCAGATCATGAAATTCATCTTATATTGTATTTACCTCATTTTAAACTTGTTAACGTTTTTTATAATGTCAATCTGTAGTCTTAGAAGTTGCATAGGGTATATTTTATACCATGACTGTAGCTTTAATGGAAACAGCGGGAAATTAGGTGCAATGGTACTGTCAAAAAGTACAAAGGAATATAAATCTTCACATCACAGAGAATCTTTCTACAGCTAAAAACGACTTTGTTTGCTTTCAACTAATCTTGCAAATACATATGTACACAAACACAAATGTTTAAAACTCAGAGCCACTGACACAAGCAATTAAAGATACATGAATGCGTCATTAATCTGTGTTGTATTATGTCAGCTCAAACAACCATTGTGAAATCTACTTGCTTGCCATGTAATGACCCATAT